AAAAAAAGAACCGTATGAGATAGGCCAACAAATTAGAACGGGACGACAGAATATAATGGTCAAGGACGCAGTCTCTGAGTTCAAACCTTAACCCGACTACGTACCATCTGTACTGTCTCGGGCGAGTTATTAACCTATCAGTCTGGGTTTCCTGAACCGTAAGATGGGGATACTAACTGTAACTGTCTCAGGAATTTTGTGAGGACTGAGTTAATATACCTAAAGTCCTTAGGACAGCATTTGGTACATATTACCACTCAACGTGTGCTAGTTATTGTCACAGACTTGTATCATGCCACTCCCAAGCGTCACATCAAGTGACGGAAGCACCCAAAACACCCGGAGATGGCGCAAACCCGCATAGGAGGACAATTCTGCAAACCAGTACGCTGGGTTTCCCAACAGGGTATAAAGGACTCCAGTTTGCGAATCGCGGCCACCCGCAACTGGAGCACTGCTGAATTTCTCCCTAAATCAGAAAGCCAGAGCTCAAAACAAATAAACCAGGCCTTGGGGGTCACCTCCAGTTCCCGAGGGGAGAGAAAAATCAGATCGTGGCGGACTTAACCTCCGGGGGAATGTGCCGCCCCACACTGCTTACCCAGGAGGGTGGACACGGCCTCCACGCCGCCGTTGTAGATGGCAGCATCGCGAGAGGGCATCACCGTCTCCCACAGGCCCTGTGCGTAGTTCACGACCTGGAAGTAGCCGCAGGTGGACAGGGCCCACCACACAGACCAGCAGAGCAGAGGCCGGGAAGAGTAGCACATCAGGAAGTCATCCCACAGGACCTTCAGCACGAGGAGCCGCTCCGGCGTGGGTTCCTTCACAGCAAACAGAGAGAAAGGTGCAAATACTGTGAAGGCGACTACAGAAAGCAACTGTATAGACCCGGTTTTCTATTTGTCTTTTTCCTTGTGAAAGGCAACCGCTTATTTATTTTTACGCATCTAAATGTCTTTTTCATGTTTATTTACTTTGGAGAGAGAGAGAGAGACAGAGCGTGAGCAGGGGAGGGGCAGAGAGAGAGGGAGAGACAGAATCCGAAGCAGGCTCCAGGCTCTGAGCTGCCAGCACAGAGCCCGATGTGGGGCTCGAACCCATGAACTGTGAGATCATGACCTGAGTCGAAGTTGGACGCTCAACCGACTGAGCCACCCAGGTGCCCCTATTTTTATGCATATAAATGGTGTATATACAGGCCTACCTCATTTTGTGGTGCTACACTTCACTACACTTTGCAAATTTGTGTGTTTAACAAATGGAAGGTTTGTGGCAACCCTGTGTGGAGCCAGCCTGTCAGAGCCAGGTTTCTTCTAGTATCTGTCCCTTCATGTCTCTGCGTCACATTTTGGGAATTCTCACGAGATTTCAAACTTTCTCATTACTATTGCATTGTTTTTAAAGAATTTTTTAACGTTTATTTACCTTTGAGAGAGACAGAGAGAGCATGAACAGGGGAGGGTCAGAGAAAGAGGGAGACACAGAGTCTGAAACAGGCTCCAGGCTCTGAGCTGTCAGCACAGAGCCCGACGCGGGGCTCGAACTCACAACCTGCAAGGTCACGACCTGAGCCGAAGTCTGACGCTCAACCGATTGAGCCACCCAGGCACCCCTCATTACTATTACATTTTTTATGGTGACCTGTGAAGTTACTACTGTTGTTGTTCTGGGGAGCCATGAAGCGTACCCACAGAAGACGGCCAACTTAATCAGTGCAAGTTGCGTGCGTTCTGACTGCTCCACCGACTGGCTAGTCTCCCTCCACTTCCCCCTTTCCTGAGACACAACGATATTGAGATGAGGCCAAGGAATAAGCCTACAGTGGCCACAAAGGGTTCAAGTGAAAGGAAAAGGCGTACGTCTGTCACTTTAAATCAAAAGCTAGAAATGGTTAAGCTCGGTGAGGAAGGCTAGCCGAGAGCCTGGACGGGCAGAAAGCTAGGCCTCTTGTGCCCAACAGCAGCCAGTTTGTGAATGCAAGGGAAAAGTTCTTGAAGGAGATCAAAAGTGCTACTACAGGAAACACGCAATTGATAAGAAAGTGAAATGGCCTCATCACTGACATGGAGAAAGTTTCAGTGGCCTGGATAGAAGCTCAAACAGCCACAGTGTTGCCCCGAAGCCAAAGCCCAACCCGGAGCAAGGCCCTCGCGAGCTTTTCAATTCTGTGAAGGTTCAGGCAGCTGAAGAGGCCGCAGAAGAAAAGCGTGAAGCCAGCACAGGCTGGCTCACGTGGGTCAGGGAAAGAAGCCGTCTCCACCACGTACAATGCAAGGTGGGGCGGCAGGTGCTGGTGGACAAGTTGCAGCCGGCAAAAAGATCGCAATGTGCTGAAAGCCCAGAAGGTGGTTAGCAGTTTTTAGCAAAGTATTTTTACACTAAAGTACATGCATTGTTTGTTTGTTTGTTTTCAGACATACTGCCATTGCACATTTACAGTATAATGTAAACACAACTTGTAGGTGCACTGGGAAATCCAAACATTCATTTGACTGGCTTTATTCCAATGTTTGCTTTATTGCGGTGGTCTGGGACAGGAAATGCAAAATCTCTGAGATGTGTGTGTGTGTGCACGTTTGTATATATATATAGTACGACTTTTTCTTTTAGTGCTCTATAAACAGTAGCATAGCTGCATGTAATCAACCCAGCAACGACGTACTGTTTACCAAGTGAAGGTAGAAAGATGGTCAAAGACTGCATGTTTCAGCCAAAGCGAGATGCCACCCCACATCTCCCCACACGGTGGCAAGCGACGTTCAGAATAAGCAACCGTTAGTAACCTTATTAAATCACCGGTCAGTTAGGGTTTGTCAGTGAGAACTTCCTATCCTTAAAACTGACCGATTCACTGTAGAGCAATGGTTGAGACAGAAACCTTAGGAAAAACCAGACCCAAATATTAGCAGCAGTTCTCCACTTAGAGGGTAGTAAGGTGATTAGTGATTTTAATTTTCTTTCCTACGCTTTTTATATTTTATATCACCCAATGCTTGTACAACGGGAAATACTACCACTATAATGAAGTAATAAAGCCACCGCGTTTGTAATGGGGCGAACCGAGGCATTACCGAGCTATGTGCCATCCCCACACCATGCCACAAAGACAATGTGAAATCCCAGACACCCCAGGAGAAGTCTCTAACTCCTATCTAAGGTCTAATTTATCCAAGTATGCCCTACTTCCTGAGCGACAGGAACTTACACTTTTGTGGCTAACATGGAAAGGCAAGAGGAGAGAACCCAAATGGAGCAAAGGGGAGCTCATCGTGAAGCAGCACATAAGCGCCAGGATGTGTGACAGGAGCCACGTGCCAGATCTGTAAATACATTAGTGGCAGCCGCACAATTCAACCTGCTCTTGTTGGTTGGAGGCCACATGTCTTGAGGGGCACGAGAACCTTTAGGTGTAAACAGCACCTTCCAGTAGGTAGAGTTAGGTGTTTGCCAGACCAAGTTAAATACCACTGTTTTCTCAGCCCCGTTGTGCAGAGGGAGACTCATCTGTAGCCAAAAACAATGGCTGGGGTGGAAATTTTCAAGCGCATTTGCTTCTTTTATTAAGTGCTTTTGAAGGACACAGTCCCGATACTAACTCTTGCTACAAACAGCAAACGTATTTTCCTGATGACAAGAGGACTATCATTGTTTCCTCTGCTGGTGATGTTCCAGTATCCGAAACATAGTAAAAACGTACGTAGTGAGCCTTAACTGATGGGAATAACATACATCTGGTTTCAAGAAACAAAACAAAGTAAAATCTGTATCAAGGAAGAACTGGTGTTTGAGATAGACTTTGGGAGACAGGTAAGATGTGAATAGAGAAATAATGAAGAACATTCTAGGCAAAGGAAGCAACAAAAGCACGGGAGAAGATGCCGTTGTAGTATATTTGCAATTTAGCAACAGTAAAGTTCTCTCCACACATCAAGAGCTTCTAGGACACTCTCTCTCCTGCTCTGGCCTGTTGTGCACTTATTTTGCTCCAAGAATAGTCATTCTTGCCTTGGCCTGGTAGGCTCACAGAGCCTTAGTTCCTAAACCTGAAGTTAGGGCGTTAACAACCTGCTAAGAGTTGGCTTAGAGGCCTGTCTTTGGCTATTCTTTTTCAGGGGGAGATGACACCTGAAGTTCAAGGGCATTAAGCTGTAACAGGGAGGGGGTGCAGCCATGTACACACTCCCTCCCTTCCATCCCAACTCAGACATACCCATTGGCAGGGGTCTCACTGGAGACATCCAGAGGGAACGGTTTGTGACCACAAGGGAAAAAAGGAGGGTCGAAAGGCAGACTATGTCCTTCACACAAGTCTCTACACAACAATTGTGGCTTTGTGCTCAGGGCCAGCCTGGGGGAGACTACCAGCCCAACACAAACCTCCCACCAGTCACTAGCACCATTATGGTTCCATTTCTTTGGATTCCGAAAGAAAGCTATTTTGCATGAAAAGACATCGGAAAGCAAGTATTACATAACACTGAGTAAAAAAAAAAAAAAAAAAAAAAAAAAAAAAAAAAAAAAAAAAAAAATCAAGTTACAAAACTACATGTAGATTATAATTTCATTTACTATAAAATGTATACCTATGAATACATACACATGTGTATATGGAAAGAGATGTTTAGGAAGAAGGTCACTAAACTATTAAGAGTGGTAATCTTTGGGAGCAGCAGTTCAGAGGATTCTGAATTCTTTTTATGTAGTTTTCTGTTTTGTTTCATTAAAAAAATGAAGTAGGAGTCTTTTTTATAAAATCAGTAAAAATTTTTTTCCTATTCAGATGATATATCTATTAGCTGTATATTGTGTGTGTATATATGTGTGTGTGTGTGTGTGTGTGTATATATATATATACACACACACACATATATATATATATATACACATACATATATAGCGACTCCTGAAATTAAGTAAATAAAGGCCATTTCTCCCTGAAATGCTAGGAAAATCTCAATGGAATGAGAACCAAGCAATATTCCATAGTTGGGCCTACTCACACCATCCCTAGGCTCAGCTCACTCGTTTATCAAAATGGGCACGTAGTTTCAGATTTCACTCAAAAAAGGGGTTCTGACGCTGTCTTAAAAACAAAATAACAAAACTTGGAGTTATTTCTCTACCAAGGAATAGGGGTCTCTATTATAGAGGATTTTGAAGTCAACTAGATCTGGGTTTATTTTACTGAGAGAGAGAGAGAGAGAGAGCACACATGAGAAAGAGAGAGCGAGCAAGCACGCAGGAGCAGAGAGAGAGGAAGAGAGAGAATCCCAACCAGGCTCAGCTCAGCGCAGAGCCCGACGCGGGACTCGAACCCACAAACCGCGAGTTCATTACCTGAGCCAAAATTGGCGCTTAACCGACCGAGCCATCCAGGCGCCCTGATCTGGGTTTATTCTGACTGTGCTGTTTTCTAGGTGCCTTTGGGTGAGTTATCTGACATATGCTTCAGTTCCCTCAACTGTAACATGGGGACAGTGACACCTACAACACAGTCTTAGTAAGAATTAAACGAGCTCATGAACCTAAGATTCTTAGCACTGTCCCACAGTGTTAAGTGGGAGTACAGTCCCACTGTACTTAGCACAGCACCCAGGTTAAAATGAATGAGAGCTGAGACGATAATGATGAAGTGTGACAGAAACACACCTGCCTGCCTGCAGATGGAACCAATTTCTAAGCCTTAGGCTTTTTGCTACAAAACGGAAATGAATGTTTACTTCAACAGGCTATTGGAAGAACTAAATGAGGACTGTGCAGTATGCAGCAAGTGCTCAATACATGCTCCTTTCCTCTGTACTCTATCATGACTCACTTATGC